TGATGTCAATTAAACCCCACTGGGTATATGTGTATATATGTCTTTGTGTGTATATACAGTATGTGTGTATGGGTATATGTACATACATATGTTTATATTTGGTTGCTGGGTGTTTGTATTCTTCATTCTCTGATGGTCAGATGTCGGGTGTGTTGTCTTGTGTGTTTTTGGTGTACATTTCACATGTGGTTGAATTTCTATCAGTTTCTCTCTTTACCATTCTTACATTTCTCTTCTTTTTCTTCTTTACTATAATATTTTTAAAAAGTCACTGATGATGAAGAAATTAAAAAACTAACATTCAGTTCTGTTTTCTACTGAAGTGGCTTAAAAAAACCACTGGGTTACAGAAGTCAGGCTACAAGTGGGTCATAACAGCAAAGGCCCGGCAGAACCCAGGTTTTAATCCAGGCCAGATCCTTGCCATAAAATTCTTCCAAGGATTCATGAGATATTTTACTAACAGACATAAACACAGACATGAAAACAAACCTTATTGCCCCACCCTGTGATAAACAGGTAAATAACTTTCATTTAATCCCATTTGACATGTTTTTAATGATTTTTTTTTTTATTATTAATTCAGTTTTTCCCCTCTCAGACACAAAAAGCCTCCTGATTATATAACCGGGAGTCTGATCAGCCTGACTGTCTCTTGAGGACAAAGCTGAGCTCGATCAACCACAGGAGCGTAAAACCACCTCCAACCACCTGCTTGTGGGAATGTCTTTTTATTTATTTAATTTTTTCCTCCTCCCACTGAATTCTCTGGAGGACAAGCGAAGCATCAGAGCAAACAGCAGCAGCCCCTCGAGCGTTCCAGCCCGGGTGCCTCTCTGCTGCTGCTGTGAGTGGGCTGAAGCAAGACACCAAGACAATGTTTCTATGGTGACTGGGCTCATCCATTTGGGAGTCTCCTATGAAGAGTGACAGAAAACTTCTGCTAACAGCCCCCTCCGGTTCTCATCCGTTTGCTGCACACGCAGGCAGAGCTGCATCACGAGCACTTTGTTCGGACCTCTGTTGCCCGCCACGGACAGGCAACGAGTTAAATAATGTTTGTGGTTGTCTGTTATTAAAATATTTCATAGACCACTGAACACATAAAAAACTTGTGGAAAGTAATCATTGGATGCACATCTACAACTAATTAATATCTGAAGTCAACCTGATTCAAGATGGCCGCCACAGCTAACTGAATTTAAAAAGCACAAACATACGACTCTGTCAGTTCTACAGATATTGAGATAAGGTTTTGTGTGGTGGAAGCACAGATCCACAACACTTATTCTGAATAATAATAGTTTTTTTAAGATCTTTGTTTAAACCTATACCATCTATTTAGAGTCAATTGTCTGCCTGTTAGCAAAATATCTCTTGACATGAACCACAGATTTCAATGAAACTTTTAACGAAATAATGAAATGAGTTCACAATAGGGTTGGGCATATTCGTATTGTATACAATTAATCATCAGAAAAACAACTGATTACTTTTGGCACTTGACGATTAATACGATTAATGCCACCAGGCAGAGTCCGCTCGGTGCTCTTGTCTGCTTCAAAAATGACATTTTAAAATAAGTTCTGTATTTATTTATCAACGCAATTTAGAATTTGAAGTATAGCCTGAAGTCTGTAATTTGGACACAATTTGGAACAGGTTTTTACGAAGAGCAAATATTTCCCACTAAATTGGTCATGTGACCAGGACATAAGGGTGTTCAGGGACTCCAGGGGATTAATCATCAAATTAATTATCGGCTAAATACCCCAATTAATCGTGATTAATTTTTTTGCCAATATTTCCCAACCCTTGTGCACAACTACGATTAGTTTTGAAGCCAATCCAGTTTGTTCACAACATACTAGGGATGTCCCGATCAGATACTCAGTATCGGTATTGGTGGCAGATATGGTCATTTTTTGAAAATTGGGTAGAATCAGATTTAGTCATGTGATCGGGCCGATCCAGTTTTCGCTACAGTTTTCATCAACATCATGATCAGAGTTGTAAAGTAACTAAGTACGCATACTTTGTTACTGTACTTAAGTAGAATTTTTGGGTATCTGTACTTTACTTGAGTAATTGTTTTTCAGCGTACTTTTTACTTTTACTTATTACATTTTTACACAATTATCTGTACTTTCTACTCACTACATTTTTTTAAAAAGGTAAGAAGTATAAAGTCGTTACTCCTATTTTATTCCGAATTGTTATTACTTAAAAAAAAAATACTATCCTGATAAATTGTGTCTCCTGGAT